ATTTGTTAAGCACTGTACATATGAATCTTGCTCCGCTTGCTTATCCCCATCTATACTAATGCTGAGGTGTGAATATTGGTGTGTGTGTTATTGGGAAGGTCAGGCCTGTTGCTGAAGTCTGGTAATGCCTAAATCCATGATTTAGTGGAACCAGGATTTACTGCCTTCTGTCCATACAGCCTTATTAAAGCCAGCATAGAAGCTTTAATATTCTTATTTTGTTTCTTTTTTCTTCTTTTCCATTTGGTAACATAGTTACCATCAGAATCTTTCAGAAGAATATGAATATTAATACAAAAAAACTATTCCTTTTCACATTTCTACAGACTAAAGATCATCTAGCGTGTTGTTTGTGAAGGTATTACACGTTGTTGATCAGTGTATCGTAAGAAGACAGCATAGAGATCGTGTCTAAGATGTCTAATACAAGTGGGAGCACTTGCTGTAGTTTAATTTCACATATTCAAACCCAAAGTCCAGCTCAGTTTCATTCTGAACTGAACTGAAAAAAATACACGTTTTTTTTTTTTAGATTTAAAATAACAGTCAAGATGAGAGCATAGTAATAATAATAGTTGAACCGCACGCAGGACTCTTTTATGACTGTGCCATAGCTGTAGCGTCAGATTAATTCATTGGAAGCAGAAAGATTGTCTGTTTGCATTCAACTTATGTAACCTCTCCTGGTTTCTGCTCCAAGAATCAGTTTTGCTAAATCACCAAGATAATGGTTTAAATTATGAAACCTCCCAAACTTTAAATAGGACCTAAATGGAGACTACTCTGGATTTCTGTTCTTGTAGTTGTCCTCGGGTCCTGAATTTCAATGAAGAAGTCCTGTGGTTAACAGGTGGTCATACAGTCATGTAGAAAAGTAAATACATGGAAGTTGTTGCCTTTTTTGACATATCTGGACAAGCAAAGATTTTCTCTTTGAAACAGTACTTAATAATAATATATTTAAAGAAATGACACATACAATAGACATTTTGTTTTCATTTTTTACAAGTTAAATACATTTTAAATAACAGATTACTCACATGGAAAAGGCAAGTACATTCATTATGCTTTGAGATCCATCAAATTAGAGTCATGGCTTTCAGATCAAGTGCCAATGACTAGAACCTTACTAGAGAGTGACAGGTGGAACCTGACTTATTTGGACCTCTCACATCCATGGTCTGCTTTTTTTTTTTTTTGCCAGTAGGGTGAGTGGGGTCATGCCAAGATCCAACGAGTGCTAAGGCCTTCAGAAAACAAAGGTTGTGGATTCCTAGGGCCTGGAAATATCTCCAAGTGATTCAAACTAAATTCCAGTGTGAGAAAGACCATCTACAACTGGTACAAGTTTGTCACGTGTCCAGGACTGGCTGCTCCAGCAAATTCAGCACAAGAGCAGAGTGTTCGATGCAGAAATTCTACAACCTTAGAATTTTCTGACAGGATCTCCAGGTAACTCTGAAGCTGCTGGCATCAAAGGGCTGCCTCTACAATCAGACAGAGATCACACAATGTTGACCTGCATGGGAGGCATGTCAAGAAAAAGCCGTTGCAACAAGAACAATAAAGCAAAGCCATCATTTGCTAGTGAACATGCAGGCAATGAGCAGGCTTTGACAAATGAATCAAAGATAGAGACCACACTAACAGTAGACATGTTTGGTTGAGACAAAAGGCAGCTTTCCAGAAGAAAAAAAACCCCCAACATAATAGCTTCATGGTTGTGGAAATATTCTGGCTTGGAGTTGCTTCCCTGCCTCAGGAGCTTGGCTGCTTGCAGTCATTGATTCAAGTATGAATTCTGCATTATATCAAAGAGTGCTTGAGAATAATGTGAGCCCATCTGTCCAAAAGTTAAACTGAAAGTGGAGCATTCAACAGAATAATGATTATGAACACATTTCCAAATCCACCAAAGAATGGCTTAGAGAGAAGTGTAAAGAAGGTCATATACCCTTAAGGACTGCACCTGTAACTCTTGTCTCTAACATGCAATAGTATGTGATACAATATTGTATAATGTCAAACCATGTCTGTATTTTACTTCATTGTTCCTTAGCAAGGTGAGGGTTATAACACTATTTTAGATATTTTTAAAATGTATCTCTGTGAACCATCAAAATAATAAAAACCGAAGAATTGGAGGGTTGCGGAGTAGCTTACTTGAGAAATAAAAGCCCAGATTTGAATCCCATTGAAATGTTGCAGGTGGATTTCAAACAGGCAATACGTGTATGAAAATCTTTAAACTTCTTGCACTTAATGAAATTTTGCAGAAAAACTGGTTGAAAGTTTCTGCCAATCGTCAGAGACTGATGAATAATTATGTAAAAGGACTACAAGAAGTTATTTCTGGTAAGTCAGGCAATACTAGCTTCTTGTGCCCAGGGTGTAGAATATTACATTTATTGATATTTGTCTTCAATTAGTGATTAGGAAAAAAAATCTTATAGAGTTGTTCCAATATACCAGCTATGTCTGTAGGGAAGATTAACTGCTCGCTTGTCCAAATATATCAAAAAAGCCAACAACTTTTTCGAATGACTGCACATACAGTGTTTAATTTGATATTGTATTTGCAAAAAAAAGTACAAATATACAAATTATTTTGTATCATTGTCCTTCTGATAGTTTATTAGCTGTAGGCTAAAGGGGAAATAAAACTGATCAAGTATTCATTATTCTCTTACATATTGTTTGTCTGTTTTCCATCTGCCACTCTGCTA